ACCAAACCCTCTGGGACCAAACCCTCTGGGACCAAACCCTCTGGGACGCTCCATCCTCACATCCAGACAGTCATGACCAGAATATTCAAGTTCTGAATAAAATCCATAAAGACAGAAATGAGGTGTGGAACATGTGATGTTCCACAGACCAGGGTTCCATGGATGAAAAGGTTGATGTGAGATTTGAGAACGTTCCTCTCTCCCTTTTTTTTATTAATCAACAATATTTTGAACTTTAGATCCATTTGCTAAAGTGCCGTCACTTTGTTCAGTTAGAAACATCGACATTAACAAAGATTAACGTGAAAACATTTTTATATATAATCCTAATTTATTAGCAGAAAGAAACACATTTTTAAATTTAACGTGAGTCAGAAACATGAAGCTGTAGAACCTGTTGGTGACGTCACCAGGCCTGTTGTCCACCATGATTTGTCCCGTGTTGCTGCAGTTCTGTGCACGTAGCGCAGCGTTAGCGCTTGTAGCGGTTTTTTTATTCCTGAGTAAACGCTGGAGGAGAACCATCGCACCGCTCCAGACACGAGTTCTGAGGTTTGAGCCCGGACTGCGAGTCAGAAACCTCTGACGATGCCGAGACCTGGATGGAGGGACGTGTTCAGGGGGGTAGCCAAGACCAGAGTCTAATCCAGGACCAACCAACCAGAGTTCTGCATTTGGCACATTATTCTCCTGTTGACAAACTATTATACAGCAGGAAAGACCTTAACATTTGACCTTTATTTGTGACCTTGACCTTGAAGCAGGGGTGATGAAAGGTGCAACACTCCATCTACAGGTGACGCGTGTGCGTCTGAAGTTTCATCGAATTATCTAGAGCGAATCAGAAGTGATGGGTGGGACAAAGACTGTGATATTTGCCCTTGATTTGTGACCTTGACCTTGGAGGCGGGGTGATAAAAAGTGTACATGACACACCGTTACGTAACAAACCATTTGTGTGTCACGCTTTGGAGGCGGGACAAGAAAAAGTCCAGACCATAGCACGCCTTGCCTTTGACGGGTGTAAGAAGCAGGAGATGTAGAGGCAGGTTCCCCAGATGATGGACAACCCCCTGTCCTCCTGTCCTCATGCTGTCCTGGATGGAGCATCAGTGGTATCATTTGTCCATCCAGGACATAGGACAGGTGGTCGTCCATCGTCTGGGGAACCTGTCCTCACTCTGTCCTGGATGAACATCAGTGGTATCCTTTGTTCTCTGGATCCTGTCCACACCTGACTGGTACCTTCTGGCTCTCAGACTCTTGTCCCTCTCAGACCTTCACTGTTCTTCACTGAGACAGAACAAACCTCCAGAACTTACAACCTTTGAGCTGGACCTTATTGAGGGAACCATCTCCAAGCAGGATGGGAACTTCTCTACCGCTCGTTTCTGAACCACCTCAGCTGACTCCTTTAGTTGAGGAGGAGCAGCAGCTCTGAGTTCATACTGGACAGAATGCCATCAGGTTTGACTGTAGATGAAGAAGCTTGACCTTCATCACCTCGTCTGCTCTGGTTTGTTTCTTCTAAATGAGCCTGAAATGAAGCACCCACTTGTTGGTGTGTCAATGTGTGGAGGTGTTCCTGACCTTCTGGGCTGCGGTGTCCGTCAGAGCGGCAGCTTGTCTGCTCAGCTGTGATGTCATGATGTGGCAGCGTTGACACAGTCTCTGCAGCTCCTCCTCCTCCTCCTCTTCCTCCCTCTTGCCACAGCAGCTCAGCTCACCGGCCGACAGCGAGCCCTCTGGGTTTGGCCGGCGTGCACAGCTCTTCTGAGCCTCTTCGTCGTCCTCCTCCTCTCCCACTGAACGAAGGCGCTTCCTGCGGCACGTGGAGCCCAGAGGGAGAGGAGTGTCCCCCTCCACCATCTGCAGCCCGAGGAAGAAGCTTCAGTCTGGATGAACCTGGAACATCTCACCACCGACCAACAACCAGCTAGAATGTGGATGATTTTGATGTTTTGGGCTTTTAATCCCAACAACTGAGTGAAATTAGCTAATCCCACATTACAGCTAGACAATAAAATGTATTTTTGGTTCTTTTTATGTTAATAAAATAATAAAAAATGGTTTATTTTGTTGAGAGAGCAGATATTCTTTACAACATCTTAATGGACCAAAACATTTCCTTAAAGGAGTCGGACCATCAGAGACGGAGCAAGTTCTCTAAACTGGCTGCTCAGTAATCTCAGTTTGTGATGTCACGTCTGTCAATCACCGCTAAATGTTTGATATCAAAACACTTTTAATAATCCAGGTGTCGGGATTAAAACTGGAGCTGTTCATGAGGAAGATTTGAAATATTCTCACCGTGTACCTCCGGTAGTCCGGCCTGCGCCCCCGGGCCGTGCTCCAGTACTGCGAGTACATATCTGCAGATGAAGTGATGAACGTCCTCTCAGAGGCAGCTTCAGTCTCCGGCGACTTCTGATCGTCAGCAGGAAGAAAGTGGAGAGCGTGACTGTGGGAGGGGAGCGAGGTCGCTGAGGCGTGAACTTTCAAACCACTGGATGGTGACGGGACGACCCGGATGAGATCCAGTGTTCTGACACCGAGTTACACAACTACTGACTCCACCAGTGGGGTAACGTTAGAGAGGACGGTGGAAGGAAAGGGCGAAGGGCTGATGGTGAGCATGTACAGTGCAGATCTAAGGCTGGATCGGACCTTCTGTGTTCAGAAGGAGCGGACTCATTTCATAGATTATGTCGAACGGGTGAAATGGGACAAAATATGACCCGTCGCATCGAACCGAGGACTGAATCAGCTTTGTCCAAATATATCTTATCTAAACCTGTAGGAAATGTTTGAAATATAATCCTAAATAATAATCCAGGATTCTGCGGTCTACACTCATCTCCAGGCCAGAGGTCACTCTTTCAGGGATGAAGATGTTCACATCCTGGACAGAGAGGAACGATGGTTTGAGAGAGGAGTAAAGGAGGCCATCTTTGTGAAAAGAAACCGTCCATCATTAAACAGGGGTGGAGGCCTCCAGGTTCAACTGTCCCCCTCTTACAATGCTGTGATTGCTAGTATCACTCAGCCCTCTGTGAACAGTAAACAGCCATCAGGTGCTGATGATCCATTGTTAGGCTGATGGTCCTCCATCACGTGAACAGCTGGTTCTGGATGTCAACACCAAAGTGGTTGATCCACCATGAGAAGGTGCTATTTATAAGACTGAGTTTGTTGCTGATCCTCAGACTGAAGAAGTCCTTTGGATAAAAGTCGAAACGTTTCAACAAGAAGAATCCGTCCAGAGGACCTGATTCAATTTTGTTAAAGAGTTTTCTACCTGGATTATTGAGCAGCATCAGGATAATCCTAAAGAATGTTTTCAAGCAGCAGCGCCAACAGCTAATAATGACCTTGAACACAAAGGTCGTACATTTTTACTACTTTTTCTGTGCAGTAGTGAAGCTAGTTTCAATAGCAGCTGGAAAATCCAGATATCCAAATCTGGTTTGAGGAGTCCTCTCTCAAATGTCAAGAAATCCTCTCTTAGATTATCAGTTTTGTGTTGTGTGTTTCCTTGACTGATGAAGCCTTCTGGATGGAAGGTGAAACGTTTCATCGCAAAAAAAGAAACTGTCCAGAAGACCTGACTGAAAATTGTTGGATTGTATACCTGGATTATTGAGCATGGACTTTGTTGGTCCTCTTAGATTACGCTAAAAAAAAAGGATTCAGACCCGTTTTCAAGGAGCCATCTCAATTATCAAGTCATATATCTAGCATCAGGATGATCCACGTAACAAAATGTAAATAAATAAATAAGCCAGAAATAGGAAAATATGTTAAATTTAGTTTGACCAAATCTGACTTAATCACTCATTTGAAGATGGCTCGTGAATAACCATAATCCAGATTTTTACCAACCGTGTTTTTAAAACAAATCCATTTTTAATTAAATACCGTCACTCACAGGTTAATCTGTCAATTAATTTCTGAGTTTCATTAAAATCCATCCAGTCTTTTATGAGATATTTTGCTAACAGACAAAAGAACACACAAATACAGGCACTTACATTCCATGGTTGATGAATATCTTAAATGGTGTTGCATTTTAAGTGACACAGATAAATGTACTAAAAAAAGTCCATCTTTACTGAATGTTTAATAGTATTTTTATTTGAAAGATTAGGTTTAAAAACTTCTGTATAAAAATGAAGAAACAGCTTCATCAATGAGTTTACAGGAACAAAAGGCTCAAACAGCCAAAATAAAAAATAAAAATCTTGTTTTCTGCTTTTTACATGGACACGCAAGTTCAACAGTTTGAACACAGACATTAATTTATATTACTGACAGTTATAATCTTAAATTCAGTTTATTTATAAATTCAGTTTATTTATAAATTCAGTTTATTTATAAAGTGCTAATTCACAACAAACATCAGAGCGTCGTACAAAAACATTCACATGCATTAAAAACGGTCAGTCAAAGGTATCAGTCTAAGGAAGCCAGAACACTTTCTCTCTTTCTGAGCAGCATATTGGCGACAGTGGAAAGAAATGACTCCCTGCCAACAGGAAGAAACCAACAGAAGAGTCAGAACCTGAGCCAGGCTCAGGGTGGACCACGGATGGTTGGTCCAGATGTAGCTCCCACAATCCAAGTGTAGTTTCCACAGTCCAGCTATATTTCCCATGGTCCAGGTGTAGTTCCTATGGACCAAGTGTAGCCTCTATGTTCCAGGTGTAGTTCCCATGGTCCAGGTGTAGATCTTACAATCCATGTGTAGGTCCATGTGTAGTTCCTACGGTCCAGGTGTAGCCCGTATGGTCCACATGTAGATCTTATGGTCCATGTGTAGTACCTACAGTGCATGTGTAGGTCCAGGTGTAGTTTCTATAGTCCATGTTTAGTTCATACAGTCCAAGTGTAGTTTCTATGGTCCAGGTGTAGTTACTACGGTCCAGGTGTAGTTCCTACAGTCCATGTGTAGTTCCTATATTCCATGTGTAGGTCCATGTGTAGTTTCTATAGTCCATGTTTAGTACCTACAGTCCATGTGTAGTTCCTACGGTCCAGGTGTAGTACCTACAGTCCAGGTGTAGCTCCTACAGTCCAGGTGTAGTTCCTACAG